GTGGTTAGGGAAGCCTGCCTGGAGTCTGTAAAGATTTAGAGGGAGAGTTTGGACAGGCCAAGAACCAGTGGTTCAGAGGGGCAGAGTGAGGACCGATCATTTTGATTACATAGATCTGTACTGCCGTAAGCCACATGTGCAGACTGAGCACTTAACCGTGGCTAGTCCTAACTGCAAAGTGCATTCAAGTGTAAAATACACACCAGATTTCGGAGACTTGGTATGAAAAAAGTGAATGCAAAATACCTTATTGATAGTTTTCTACTTGGAAAGTACATTTTAGATATACTGGGTTTAAGAAAATAAGTTATTAAACCTAAATTCACTTTCTTAAAACTGACATACTGTTCTGAGAAGATAAATCTGATCATCTAGGGCAAGACAGAATAGCTGGGGGAGAAACTAGAGGAAAGAAAACCAGGTAGGAAGTTTCTGAAATAGTGAGATGGAAAGGACCTAGGTTAGGGTGTAAACTGGGGTCATCAAAAGAAAGGACACAAGAAACATCATGAAGGAAGAACCAGTAAGGTGCTGATCTTCAGCAAAGATAAAAGGCAGAGGAAAGTATAGTGGGTGAACCCAGGAGTATGGGAATACATTTCTTTTAAAGCAGAAAGGGTGCGTGAGTTGGAGAGAAATGCTGAGCTAGTTTTTCTTCCTTCTTTCTTTTAACATGTTGAGTGATGGGAGGCATCATGCAATGGCTATTTAAGGAAGTAACACTGTAGCTTGGGAGAGAAGCTAGGCTGAAGGTGTGTGCTGAGAGAAGCATGCCCAGTAGGACTAAGAGAGTGAATTCCACCAGGAAGAAAGAGAAAGGAGAAAAACCAGCAAGTACGAGCCAGGAATCCAAGGAGGTCCTAGGCTTCTATGGTTGCATGCCATTATTCACATCATCACTACAAAATCAGATTAATCATCTAATCGGAGCATGTTAGGGAGGATTCCTCCCAATCTAATCTTGTTGAGAAGAAAAAGATAACCCCATTACAGTATAAGATTTAAATAACACTTCAAAATAAAGAAAGATGACCCAAAGTAAGTACTTGATTAAGTGAACCATATAATCTGTAACTTTTTGTGTAAGAGTACCTGGAAAGATATCCCCAAGCTAGAGTGTTTCAGGGAAGCTTTAGGAGAGAGTGAGTTTTGAGTGGGTCATGATCTGAGAGGATGAGTCATAAGTCTTTTCAGGCAATTGAAAGGCCATGAGCAAAGAGGAGGGGGCAAGCAGGTCCAGGCTGGTGAGTGAACCAGTTAGGCAGGAGGAACTAAGTCATTGTATTGGATGGATGGGGTGCGGGTGGGAGCACAGAGGAAGCTGGTTAGGCAGGGTAAAGCCAAACTGTGGCAGGTCTTGAATCGAGAATCTACAAGCATTGGGACTTTTTCTTACGTTCAAGGAAGAGTCACTGAATTTTGAGCAGGTGAATGATGTGATTGAACTCTTAAGGACGTTAATCTGGCTCTACTTTTAAGACAAAATCTACAGAATTCAGGGACCATTAAGTTCTTCCTCTCACAGATGAGATACAGAGAGATTAAGAACATTTTCTAAGAAAGAACTCTAATTTCCTGACTACTAATCTACTTCACTTTCTACCAGTTCTAAAAATTTTATATTAGCTTGGCTTACAGATCTCTTCAGGAATAGGAATGAGAAAGGAGGGCTGCATGTGAGGGCGTGTCAAGAATTTGTGAGGTACCATAAAATAATGGTGATACTGGGGATGAAATAAGGAGTATCCAGGTCAGGTTGGTTAGGAACAGGGAGAGAGAGAGCAATTTAAGAAGAGAGAAACAGGGTAATCCCCCGGAGAGAAGACTGGATGAATGGTTAGAAGACTTGGGTTCCAGTCCTGGTTATCAGTAACGGAAGAAGCCACACTTTTATTTATCATATGCCTTGCAAAGTTCAAATAAATGTTTTTAGCTGATCATTTGGAATTTGTAGTGTATTTCCGAAAGAAACAGTGTTATAAAAGGGTGTTTCATTTCCCACATCATTCTCCATGAAGCTATAAAAATCCTGTCACAGCTGAAATGACTGCATAGTTTGCAAAGATAAATAGGTAAATGTTTTTGCAACATTAATTAGTAAGCAAAACAGATTAGCCAAACTAATTATTGGGGTTCTTTTTAATGGGCAACATTTAACTAGAAGAGGATATGGAACTGAAGGTTGTGGTGAATGTGAAAAAGAATTACTTCTTGGCACTTTTAAGGTCATCTGAGGTGAATGGCACTGGCTCACAAATAGAAAAGAGGGAGAGTAGGAAAGAGCATAAGCTTGTGCGTTTTTAAGGAAGATGATTCAACTAGTGTTTAGAGGGTGGGCCAGGCTTGAAAAAGACCAGAGACACCACTCCTCATGGAGGGGAGAGGGGAGGAGGGCGGTGGCCAACATACGGGCCCAGGGGTCAGTAATCTGGAATCTGGGAGATGAGGCAGGAAGGGAGTCGAAAAACATAGATCTGAGGTAGTTATGTTCCAGCGTAAAGGCGGGACAAAGGTTCAAAACAGGGTCAAAGATTCAGGGTATTAGTTCCAACAGAGGAAGAGGCAGGGGTCCAAATGCAAGGCTCTACCTGGAGGCCAGCCTCAGGGAATTCAGGTCACACTTTGAGCCGCACACAAGACATGGTAGGCTCCTTCGCTCCCGGCGGGGGCCAGGGCTCCTTCCAGACTGCGGGTGGATGGGGCGCCCTTGAGGGGAGGAACCGACCAAAAACCTACAAAGAGGGAACCAGAGTTGATGCGGATAGACAGAAACAGGTGTAAAGTTGGAGAGAAACAGGTATAAAGTTGGGAGTGCTGGTAGGCAGAACACTGAAAAGAGACGCTCAGAGAAGACAAGGCAGCAGAGGGGCAAACCGCTCAGAGGGCAGAGGAGCTGGCCAGGCGGGGGGGGGGGGGGAGTGTGTCTGGTCACCAGCAGGGGGCGCCTGCCGGTCCAGGACAGCTTTGTTGGGTTCCAGGACTGGGCAGGGGCAGGAGGGAAGAGGACAAAAGAGAAGCCTTCAGGTGGGGGAGGGGGCTGGAACCCGTATGCAGACACACCGGAATGGCCGGATCTTCTCCCTTCTGCTTCCGGGTGTTGGGAACACCTGGGCGCCAGGAGTGCCAGGTTGGTCAACACCTAAAACTGAGGGACCTGGTGGAAAGATGAACCATGATGACAGGGGAAGACAGGAAGGAGAACGCAGATGGAAAACCAGGAAAAAGGTGGGGGAAGAATGACCAGGATATGATGATTAAAAACAAAGGTGAAGGAAAGCAGTAACCTTTAAAAAACAGGGTGTGTTTGTGGGAAGTGTGGAAATCAGACTGATCAGTGAGGAAATGAAAAAACAGGAGAAAAAAGCCCAGAAAATATCTAATTCAGGTTCTGTGACTAATTTCACAGTGGCTTGTCACCCTTTTCACATCTCATCTATTAATAGGGTATCTACAGAGAACCTATGTTTATAAACACACAAAAATGTAGCCTTTGCATTTAAATATACATTCATTCTTGCCAAAGTTTTAAAACTTACAGGAAAACTTGAGTATAAATTTGAAGTTATTAAACAGCTCCAAGCAATAAAAGAGCAAAACTTTTTGGGCTGTTTCTGTCAGGAGAAAGGAAGCCCAGTGTTAGAAGCATTTTGATTAATAAAAGGTAAGCTTAAATATCCATTTTCTTTTAAGAATTTTTTTTTCTCCAAAAATGCTGTCCTATGAAAATAAAACAGGTCATTAAAATGACCAGGTGAAGTGAGGGACGGTTGGGGGAAGATTACCTGGAGAGCCCACTCCAGAATCTACCACATAGATTGGTTCATGTTCAACATTCTCTCCACATTTGATTTCAGCACCATAACACTTCGCGATCGTGCCTGTCACTCAGTAGGTACTTGATTATTTGGGGGAGGCGTCACAGCTACTTGAGCGTAATGCTGTACTAAATACTGTAAATGCTGCGATTTGCAATGGCAGACAAATCTGAGCGTTCCATGCAGTTTTTCCAAACTTGTGGTCTGTCTGGGGCGTGCTTTGCCCCAGGCGGGGCAGAGGCGGCGTGTCTGGGCGCGAGCCCCGCCCCGCCCCCTCCGTGCGCACTCCTCCGGGCAGCCCCCCAGACTTCGCGATCGTGCCTGTCACTCAGTAGGTACTTGATTATTTGGGGGAGGCGTCACAGCTACTTGAGCGTAATGCTGTACTAAATACTGTAAATGCTGCGATTTGCAATGGCAGACAAATCTGAGCGTTCCATGCAGTTTTTCCAAACTTGTGGTCTGTCTGGGGCGTGCTTTGCCCCAGGCGGGGCAGAGGCGGCGTGTCTGGGCGCGAGCCCCGCCCCGCCCCCTCCGTGCGCACTCCTCCGGGCAGCCCCCCAGCGCGTCGGCTCCGGACGCCCACACGCGGCCGTTCCTGGGGGCGCACCTCCCGCGCGGCCGCTGATTGGTCCTCCTCTCCCCCGCCCTTCCCGCCGCGCTCCGCTCGGCTCTCCGCGACCAGCTCCGCCGGCGCCGCTGCCTCCGTCCCTCGGAGAAAAGAGCCACTTCAGAACCCCTGGAGGCAGCGTTCTCGGACGGAATGAGTGTCAGAGAACACGTGAAGGCACTTGGTCTGTCAGCCGCCCATTCCCGGGCGCACAGCCGAGCGGTGCTCCCGCGCTCCCGCCAGCGCCTTGACCACGACCTCCCACAAGTGCGTGTCTGTGGGCGCAGCCCCGGCCGAAAGCAGCTCCCCGCGGGCCCTTTAAAAGGACGCGACCACTGGGGCGCAGTGGGGGTGGCAGAGACCCTTCCCGTCCGCGCTCGCTGAGTCAGGAAACTTCTCAGCCCCGAGCACCCGGAGGCGGAGAGCGTGCCCAGCGGCGCGGGTTGTTGTGGTGCCGCGGCGGCCCCGCCCCTCCTCGTGGCGGCCCCGCCCCCGGCCTCACGGCCCCGCCCCCGCGACGGCCCCATCTGTTTCCCCCGCGGGGCGAGGATTATATTGTGCGGGCCTGGGGGCGGCCGCAGCCGCAGCGGCGGGATGGGGCCAGCGCGCGGACCCCGCCGGCAGCGCGAGCAGCCGCCGCAGTGACCCGGCCGCGAGCCGCCGCCCCAGCTCATGCCCGTGCCGAGCGGCCGTAGCCGCGGGAGCCGCCAGCCGCCCGGGGGCCCGGGGCGCTGAGGCGCGGAGGCGGCGCGGGCGAGTCCCGGCCGCCGCGCCCGGCCGGGAGATGAGCCTGGAGGAGGGCGGCGCGGCCGGGCTGGGTGAGCTCCGCTCGTGGTGGGAGGTGCCGGCCATCGCGCACTTCTGCTCGCTCTTCCGCACCGCGTTCCGCCTGCCGGACTTCGAGATCGAGGTGAGCGGCGCGAGGCGCGGGGAGGCGGCGGGCGCCCTTCCCGAGGCCCTCGGGCGGCGGGGCACGAGGCGGGCGGGCCGCCCCGCGGAGTCCGGGCTCGGGACGTTCGCGTGGGCCACGGCCGGTGCCGCGACTCTGGGGGGGTGGGCACGGGCGCTCGCTGTGGGGCGGCCGGCCGGGCGCCTGCGGACCTGGTGCCTGCGGACGCGGCCCGGGCCCCGGCGAGGTGTCGGGCGCTCGGCGTGCGCGGCGGGCCGCGGAGCAAAGTTTGGGACTCCGCTACTCCTCGGGCGCAGCCCGCCGCGCGGGCCCGCTGAGCTCGTGCGGCCGCCGGGCCCCCATTGCCCCCGGCGGGCGCGGAGGGAAGGGGAGCAGCGCCGGCCAGGCCGGAGGGCTTTGTGAAAGCAGACCCGGGCGGGCCGGCTGGCGGGCGGGGCACCGGGCGCGCACCGCGCCGACAAGGCTAGCCGCCGCATCCTTTCTCTTCTTTTTCTTTTCGGGAGGGGTGCGAGGTGCCGGGCTGGCCTGGCCGCAGGTTGAGTTCCTGCTGCCCCGGGGCACGCCTGTGATGACCTACCACCTTGTGCCTCGGGACAAAGGTGGTGGAAACTGTCGGTCGGCTTTTCTTCCCAGTTCTGCCGAGGAGCTCCCGGTGGAGTGACCAAAATGGGAATTACTGCTTCGGAGGAGCAAGTCGCCGTTGTTGCCTCCCCACCCCCACCTAGCTACTTTCTGCCATTTTCGGATTGACTTTAATTCGTTTACGCCTAAGATTTTTGCCTCACTTTTAATTTTGGACTCAATTTATACTTCAGTGGTGTTTGCGGAAATATTTGCTTCTCCTGTGGATCAAGTGTGGGAACTTGGCTCTTGTTGCAGAGTTAACGAAATTGGGAAAATAAGATCAAAAGGCGTAGGGTGGGAGAATGAAGAGGAATGTAGGCTGATAAACTAAGACCACTCACTGGCTTTTGGCGATTCTTTAGTTCCTTAACCTGATTAGAACAATGTAATTAAATCGTAGGCTTTTGTTTTTAGGAAGATGTAATGACTTGGGCATTTTAGGTAGCACCGAAGCAGTTGTTTTCAAAGTTTTAACGTGACTTGTAACAAGCTTGGTTTTTACTAAAAATTTAATTGGGTAACGTTTGTATTGACCCAAGAAGATAAATAAGGCTACAAAAATTAAAGATTTGAGAATGCTAAAAGTCAAGAGATGTTTGGCAATTATTATGATAATTCTGTGTTTTGTTTTTAGGTAGTATAAAATTGTAAGGAGTTTAATTATATCCTGCTACTCAAATTGGTGGCTGTTGTGGGAGGTGGTGTTTGTGACAGTGCCATCTTGGGTGCTGGAAAACTTGCCCCTAGTCCGGTTTCTTCCTTGCAATAAAATAAAATTGAGGTGACGCTGAATTACAACTTTAGAGTAGAAGGAACCATTCTAAAAATGTGGAAAGCCTTACCTTTCAGAGCCCTCAAAGTCCCATTTTGTTGATGGAAAAGTAGAGGCAGCTAATTTTGCCATAAGTTGTTACAGATACCTAGAGTATTCTATAAATAAAGGTCTTAGTTGTGAGAAGCAAGCTATGGCTTCTGAATAATTGCTAGTTTAATTCCTAAAGGAAATGTAAACTGATCAAAGAGGTCAAATACATGTGTATGGCAGAAATGAAATCATTGTCATTACAGGTGACTAATTGGCTGAGACAACTGTCTTCTCTCTTGATTGGAGTTTCTTGGAAGTGACACTTTTTCTTGCTAAAGTAAATGCTGTTTGAAATACGTGTGGGAAATGAATATTTGGAATCTAGCATGTAGGTGGTTAGATGACTATCCAATGCCTGTTTTTATTTGAAAATGTTCAGGAGATGGATAACAAATGATAGTGACTTCATAACCTTTGCAGTTTTGTCTAATCCTTCTAGTGTAAGGTGTGTTTTGATATGATATAGTTAGTATAAATTTTAATAAAGTTTTCAGTAGTTAGAAGAAATTTCAAATTTTAAATAAATTTTTTTGGTTTCTCAGACATGTAACTCCGTGACAGTGGCAAACTCAATAAAAACATTAGTTTTGATTTTCTAAGTATAAATAAATACATTTTTACTTTGCCTAGGTGATTTTTTAAAATCATAGTTTATTGTCCTGACAGTTTGAGAAACAATCTCTCAGAGCTTGGGTGCAGTAGAAGACCTTTCCCTAAAAAATAACAAAGCAACGATTCTAATGCTGAGTTGTACCTGTTAGGCCAGCTGGAAAGGCCCTGCAATCTTAATTTACTGCAACTTTAAAAGAAATGAAAAAAGTTGGATATCAGCTTTTTAAGGAAACCAATTTTCACCCGTGGAAAGTTTTGCCCTTGGCCACCAAGCAGATCACCTGGATTTATAGAAAATTTAAGAAGCAGAATCCTCAAGGACTTCTATTTACCTAAAGTGCAGCAGTCTCTTAGGTGAAGGGCTGGGAGGATCCATGCTGGAATACTGCAAGAGGTCAAGTCAAGACCTCGCACTTAGAAAACTGGTCCCCAAAGCATGGATATTTTTACTTTTGCATGTAAAAAAAACCCTTTTTACTCTGTTCAACCTTGTATGTACAGGATTTCTTTAGAAGAGTCAATACACTTGATTCTTGTTTTTAGGATGTTTAAGGACTTGCATGTTGCTGCCCAACCCACATAGCCGTTCTGTAATTGTCAGACCAAAACTCTTTGAACGTTTAGGTAGGGCTTTGAGTTGTTCATAATTTCTGGTTTTAAAATGACACATACACATTAAATAAAGCTTAAAAATTATAGCAAAATACAGGTAAGAGAATTAAAACCACCCATAATCCCAACGGCTCAGAGATAAAAGCTGTGAATGGTTAACATTGTATCCCACCACTCAAGGATAAAAATTATTAACTATTAGCATATTTTTAGGCATTTGCAAATATGCTCACAGTGTATTTGTGCCATAGATTAGGTGTCATTTTTATTTTTCAGATGTGGAGATTGAGGTGTAGCTGGACAACAGATCAGTAACACTGAATTCAGTTGTTGGCAATATTAAGCACCTATTTCTAGGGACTTAACTTTGAGCTTGGAGACTACCAAAGGAGTTATGCCTCATCTCCTTTGTCTCATATTTCAGAACCACTTATTTTTTTTCAATATTTCAGTGGGTTTGGCCAATTAAGTTTTATCCTAATTTGAGAAATGAATGGTGAAATGACCTCCCCAAAGAGCTAATACAGATTTTCTTTTTGTCTAGCCAAGTGCTCTTTACAGTGAATACAGTGTGATAGTTGACTAAAGAAAGGTAAAGGAGGATAGAGTCATTTTCAACAAATCGTGGTTGTGACTTTAGGGGCAGACACTGCATCACAAATATTTTGGACATATCTGCCCTAGAAAAGAGACTGTGGTGCCTTTAGGTGGCTACTTGAAAATGGTTATGTAGAATAAATCTGAATGGTTTGTAGAAACAGCGTGATAATAATTTGATTGTCCTGTCTGCTTTTTACCTGAGCTTCCTACCTTTGGGAACTGAATCCTTTGCCTTCTTTGTATCTGCTTCCTGGTTGTGGTGATAAGTGGATAAAAGTTCCTTACCTCTTAAGCATGATAGTCTGGGGGCAGTATCTTTAATTCAGAATGCTGATTTTTTTTTTTTNCCCATTACAGTCACTGAATTGCTGAATTTTATTCTTGGATCCCACCCCTTAAAGAATACCAAGGAATGAATTTATTAAGCATGAAAATAAGTAATAAAAATTGCGAAGAGTAACTTAATATATATCTGCCAAGCATGTCCACGTTTTCCAAGCCTGGCACCCCTGCGTGGGCCATGGGAGACTGTGTTGGTGCACATGTTTCTGCACTTTGCTGAAGGAGAGAGCCTATCACTTTTCATCGAATTCTGAAAGAGGTCCCCAACCTCACAAAGATTAAGAGGCTCTGAATTAGGGGAGCCAGAAGCCTAGTTTCCTGACACAAGTACACTGGACTAAGAGTTAGGAAACCTGAATTCTTAATCTAATTGTGGCACTGACTGGCTCTGTAACCTTGGTCAAGTCAAAAGTAGCCAAAGAGAAATGACACTTGTGTGGTACTTTGTACATTTTCCAAATGTCACCTCGCTTTATCTTTGGCCATCCTTTACCTCATCACCATGAAGGAGTTACCCTTGTTTTACAGATGAAATTTGAACTTGAGAGAGGCTAAGTTGCTTCCTTGCATCACCTAGATCTCAGGTTCTTTGGACCAATTTTTGTGCTATTGGTATTACATCAGTTTCTACTTTCGGTTTCATTATCTAAAAAGTGACGGGCTAGACTTGTAAGCAGTGACCAAAACTCCACAGTACAAATCTTGAGTTCTTCATTTCTTAATGGGGTGCACTGTGATCCTTTTAAAATTACCGCTGAACTAAGTAGAGGGACAAGGTCATGATTTTATTTGTTTCAGCAAGTATTTGTTGAGCATCTACTGTATGTTAGGTGCAATGTAGTGTGCTGAGTGCTGGAGAGCAGGTATTTTTGTGTTATGTCACACCCTCTTCAGACATCCTGTTCTAAATAACTGGAGGTGTGACATAACACAAAAATACCTACTCTCTTTTTAGTGGAAGGAGGCAAGGTGGTAAACAAATTAAGTATAGTATGTCAGAGGATGATGAGAAGTATATCAGGGCAGAGGCACAGAGAGGGCCAGGTAGAAGGCATGGATTTTTGGCAATTAAAATAGGATGATCAGGTATGGCCTCACTGAAAAGATGGCATTTGATTAGAACTGAAATGGGAAGGTGACTTAAAATGATATAAAACTTAGTTTGTCACACTAACGCATGTAATGAACCAGGTAATAAATGTCTCCTGGAGATCTCCTCTGAGGAATGAAGCCCGAGAACAGGATGTGAACTGAAGAGGGGCGAATCTTCATGCAGCTTGAAATCCTGAAAAGGGAGAATATTCTGTCAGAATGTCACTGTCTACAAAAGTGAATATTGTACCCC